AACTGGTCGCAATCTCGAGGAATGGCAAAATTGGTTGCAAGATCTAACAAAATTGGAGCGCATTGAAGTGAAAAGATGTTATTCAAATTCAGGAATCAGCAATTCAGTCAAAAATCAGCTGCATCATTTCAGTGATGCCTCCGAAATTGGATATGGAGTGGCAACGTACCTGCGATCTGTAAACAAAGATGGTGAAGTTTCGTGTTCATTTGTTATTGCGAAGTCAAGACTAACCCCCCTGAAACGAATTACAATCCCAAGGCTAGAGCTGACTGCTGCAACACTTTCTGTAAAGTTGGATAGCATGCTCAAACGTGAATTGGACATGAAACTAGGTGAGTCGGTATTTTGGACAGATAGCACTGCTGTATTACGCTATATAGCGAATGAAAGCAGAAGATTTCATACATATGTTGGGAACAGAATTGCAGTGATACACGATGGGTCCAGTCCATCTCAATGGCGATATGTTGATACAAGTTTAAATCCAGCAGATGATGCATCCAGAGGTCTCAGTGCTGACGGTTTAATAAATAGTCGTACATGGTTATATGGCCCAAAATTTCTGCAAAAGGAAGAGAATGAGTGGCCAAAGGGCGTGTTTATTGAAGATTTGACTGAAGATGACGTCGAAGTCAGAAAGGTTGTACTAACAAACTCAGTGCAAATCAACTCATCAAAAGGTATGACAAATCAGATTTTCTTGAAGTTCTCTGATTGGACCATTCTAAAGAAATCTGTAGCTTGGTTATTGAGATATAAGAACTGGTTACTGCAGAACATTAGAAGTATCAATGAGACACAAAGTGGAATCAAGAGTTACAGACTGAGTACAGAAGAGTTGCGTGACGCCGAATGTGCAATAGTGAAATGTGTACAAAATGAATGTTTTACTGAAGACTTGAAGTTACTGCAGTCACCCCAGAAATCAGTAAGAAGATCAAGTTCGCTTCGCAGATTAGATCCAGTCATAATTAATGGTGTTATGAGTGTAGGTGGCCGACTTAGCAATGCTCCGTTTAACAGTTATGAAGCAAAGCATCAGATTATTCTTCCCAAGCAACATCATGTAAGTGATCTTATTATACGACATTTTCACCTGCGATCTGGACATTTTGGCCAAGAGTATGTCCTTGCCTGTATACGCGAAAGATTTTGGATCATTCAGGCAAGGATATCAGTGCGACGAATAATTAGAGGTTGTTTTGATTGCAAACGTCGATGCGGAAATTTGGGAAAGCAGAAAATGGCTGATTTGCCAGAAGATAGAGTGACACCAGATAAACCACCTTTTTCATTCGTTGGAATAGACTGTTTTGGTCCCTACCTGGTCAAAAGAGGAAGGTGCATGGTAAAAAGGTATGGAGTTATATTCACTTGTCTCACTATAAGAGCAATTCACATCGAAATTGTTTTCAGTATGGATACAGATTCATTTATAAATGCTTTACGAAGATTCATTTCAAGACGAGGACGTCCCGAGCAAATAAGGTGTGACAATGGCCCAAACTTCAGAAGTGGTGAAAGAGAACTCAGAACTGCAATTCAACAATGGAATCAGAACCAGGTGCACAAATTTCTTCTTCAGAAAGACATCAAGTGGATATTCAACCCTCCAACAGCTTCGCATATGGGTGGTGTATGGGAACGAGCAATAAGATCAGTGAGGCGTGTTTTGAATGCGATTTTGAGAAATCAGACGGTCGACGATGAAGGTTTGCATACACTTCTATGTGAAGTTGAAGCGATACTTAATGCGAGACCACTCACCAAGGTATCAGATGATCCTCAGGATTTGAATGCAATCACACCAAATCATTTGCTGCTTCTAAGATCTAGCCAACAATTTCCTCCTGGTGTTTTCAAAGGTAAAGAGCATTACAGTACCAGACGATGGAAGCAGGTCCAATACATGACTGACATATTTTGGAGACGATGGACAAAGGAATACTTACCTACACTGCAAACAAGACAGAAATGGCATTCAATTGAGCGTAACCTAAAGGAAAATGATTTGGT